TTGGATTCCTGCACGTTATTTACTTTACGTTATTATAGCAGTGATATAGTTATATATCCTAGCTTTTAAACCACTGGAAGCGGCTGTCAACCGTCAATTTACTTTCTCACCACACTTGATCCTCTTTCAAGCAGTATCTAGTTGCGGCCAAGCCTCAAGACCACCTGACTAGTGATGGGCGATTAATTTAAATATATACAAAATTAAAAAACTTACTAAGTTGTGAAGGTTTAATAAAAATAGACAGAAACCTAAGGGTGGTTAACAGAAGGAATATTGTTAAAATTTGGGATTTTGGCCTTGTTCTTATATAAAATGGGTTACTATTTATGTTTGGAAAAAGATCGGAGAAATTAACTCAATTTGAAATTACGGATCTTACATTTTTTTCTAGCGGTGGGAAGAGCACAAAGAAAGATTACAACTAAATAAAACACGAGTCATGGAATTTTGCGTATTTAGCCTGTATAAAGACAGGATAGGATGAAGTGTAAATATGGTTATAGGGTTTGCGCTTTGTTTGTATAAAGAAAGGATTTTTGCTTCGGTTTGGGAAAGGGACATAGCTAGAAATCAAGTCGGTATATTTGTTGATGCTTTGGATTATTTCATTTCTTACAATCGCGAGAAAAAAAGTAAGAGCGGTCAAAAAACTTTGATTGGACAAAAAGGAACGTTAGGCACTTATAATTTTTTGGTTTTAGCCTTCTTTTGTTTTTTATGGAATAAGAATTGACCAAAAAACAAAGATGAAAAAGAGTTAACAATTAGTTGTTGTTTTTTTTGGTTCGGAAGAGGTACGAAATCGTCTGAAGATGCAATGCTTTTGTTAATGGAGTTAATATTGTAGAAGCCCAAAGTTGGTTTACGTATCCGTTTGTTACCGGAAATGACGAAGAAAACAGACTTAAGAAATTGAACCCTCAAGAAGTGAGTCGGAAATCCTCTATCGTCTGAAAAGCCGAAACCGTAGTTCCTAGCCGAGTTGAGAAGTACGTAGGGGAGTCAAGCCGCGGAACAGATCACGGTCCATGAATTCCGGGCAGAGGAAACGTGTCTCAAAAGTGATGGCTGGAGGACAAGGCCGAAAGAACAACTGTCGGACCGGAAGTTCAGCATATTGCCGACTTGAGACGTACCACGACGCCGGAAGGAATTTAATATAATCCTTAAAAGGCGATTTTTCACTAATAGTACCGTTGGCCAACCTCCCTACCTGCCTGGCGTCCAAACTGCGTGAAAATAAATGAAGAAATAGCGGTACACTTCAGCTCATTTCCTTTTTAAGAAGAATGTTAGCTGTTCGGATGGCGATATATATTTTGTTCCCGATATATTGCTCTTGAAGAACATTAAAACATTAATTTTAGATGTAAAAACAAGAAGGAATTAAACATATTAGATGACTGCGCGGTTCTTGGATATTTTGCCCGCCCTACGTCATCAATTAATTACAGTAGTTTCCTATAATGTTAACTGCGTCCAAAATAGAAATTCTCAAAATAATGAAAGTATTATAATCCTTTGTAAAACGGACGGTTGAATGTACGGGAGAAAAATATATTACCTTAAGTAAAGGAATCCATATAGTGCATGGCATTGCGCAATTATACTTTACCATGTGTTTAAATTGCGGCATTGGGATCAACATGAAAAATGAATAATTGAGGAGATCGAAAAATGTTTTGGTAACCTCGACAATTATTTTTTTGGCCGCTGCACCTTCGTTCATAGATACGAAGTTCAAAAACATTCATTTTACAATCCGACTGCCATTGCAACATTATACAAAATTGACTGCAGTGTCTTAGAGTAGATGGACATGATTGTGAACCCGATTGAAGTTGTGAGTCAGATCCCATGGAATCCCCTACGTTGGACATATAGTCCGGCCATAAATCCATTGACTTTGATTAAAAAAAGGAGGCATTCCGTTAAGCTTATAAAATATATAAATGTGGGTGTTACTAATATGAATCAAGCTCTTCTCATGACCTGGCAAGAGATGAAACAATTGTACTCAAATTGTACAAACTTTCAAAACAACTTTTATCTATCATTTTGTCAACATCGGTACCAAGCAAAAGACTTTTTTCAAAGGCTGGACACCTACAGCATCCGAGTCAAGAAATCTAGCCAGAAACGCAGTTCTCTTTCATTATACAAAAGATTTAGAGAGAAAAAGTGAATAAACCGAGAGAACATACATAAATATCGATCTTTTTGAGCTAACGCATTAGGTGTATCAATCTATAAGCAACTATGTATCATTTGATATGTATATCAATATTATATTTATAGTTAATAACTTGGAGATTATCATTCCATCATGTCTATGTGATTTTATGTCTCTTTCTACTTCGTTTGTTTTTTTCAGGTAAAGATTGTCAACTTTTTTTCATTCAGCCTCGAGCGCATGCAAAATATTACAACACACATTTACTACGCATTCGCTCAAATAAATACATTCATACCTATATACATTGCAATCATTCTATGTGGTAGATTGTTTACTCAATATTCCTCCGTCGACCTGCATACAATAACAAACTAATTTAATTGGGGTCGATTGGGGTACTTTTATAAATATTCCGCCATCCACCCAAGTCAGGCACACAGCACGAAGGGCGATGGGGATGCTATTTGACCATCAGCCCCTTCCCATTCACTCTAATAAATACACTCACTCATACAAAACATATATTTTGACGGCTATATAATATAAAAATTCCCGATTTGAACAATCTAACAGTGGACCCTGAAATTCGTTACCGTGTCCGAGAACCATTGTTAAATCCGGCGGCATGCCTACATGCCCTCTGTATGGAGCCAACATCTATTAGAAATCAACAAATCTACTTGGAGGGTTGAGTGATCATAACTATTTCCTAGATAACTGTCTTGCAGCTCGTGCTTTATTAAAAAAAGTATAATGATATTTGGTTTGCCCAAAAATCCTAAAATTATTTTCAACATGAATGTTATTTTACTGAAATTTACTTTGTGAATATACTTCGATGTTAACATAATGAAAAAGGAGTTACTAAAATAGATAAGTTTGAGAAGAGTATTATTATATAACCAACTAAAATCTTGTTGTAAGGCTAGTACTAGTTTATAAAATTTATAGGCCAATAACTTTTACTTATTGTTACTTTATAAAATGTAACGAGTTTTTACCATGTAAATTATGTCCTCACAAAAGCTACAAAAATATGAAGCCTAAATCATAACAATGATATATTATATTTTTTATGATATACAGGGATGGTGCACCAGGAAAAACGATGCATTTTCTGCTTGTATGAATTCTGGTGAAATTTTTGTTAATTTTCTAATTGAAACGAATTTCTTGGTAAACCCTGACAAACAGTTACTTCAAAAAAGTGTTACGTGATATACATATTTCTTTATTTTGTATTTTTCGTGCTCATTGGTCGATTCTCATTAACCCCAACCTCATTCTTCAATGTGAGTCTATACAACAGGCAATTTGATACGACAACCATGGACATGGCTAGATAAAAGTGACTTAACAGTAATTTGAACAGGTGGTACATTATTTTTTCTATCGTGCGTTGAAAAATGCACCACCACGTTTGTATGCTGATGTTTGGGGAATGGTGTGTTTTCAACAACATATTGGCCGTTTGATAGTTGTACATGTATGATAGTTCCTACTTATTCATCGATTCTATAAAAAATAAATTCTCATCACTACTGATTGTTTGGAAATAAGACTATTTGTCATCCGACATTGATGAAAAGCATCAACAAATGTATGACGCTGACTTTATTGTGTGTTACTCCTTGGAAACCAGCTTCCGAAATATTGGGGTGCATGAGAAGTTCGGTGATCGTTGTCTGACGAATTGGCCACATCGAATGCAAGCCACAGATAAGGAGCGGCGGCAGTACCGTAACCGTAACGTTTTTCACGTCCTATTGCTAGTCCCTGAAAACGTCAGGAACGAATTTAGACCCTTTTTTTCACGGATTCAGAAGGTCAGTGTCGCGGTATCGTAGTTTGTGGTCTGTGGCAGCCTATTGTACGAAGACGTGCCTTGTTAGCTCACCATTGTTGTCTACCCATTGTCAAGTCGCCTCATCAACGACATTATTGTATAAGTGGATCTCCTTCTATCACACCTCTTTTACTAACTAAAAATCTCATATACAACGTGTAATTAATAGACAATATTAAAAAGTTAAATATTTTTGCAAAACTATCAACATGACACACAAGAATGACACAATTACGCAGAAAACAAACACTTTGAGCCCTGAAGATGATCTCAATAAAGATCGAACGTTGGCACGGTAAAGAAAATGTTTTTAGTATTTAATAGTACGCACTTTAGTATTTAATAGTACACTCCTAGGTTTACAATACATCACATTTATTGTTGACTAAATTAAACATTTGGATTATTGACATTTAATTTGACTATCCAACCATATCCAGCGGTCCAACGATGATTCTGGGAGTAATTAAATGAAGGAAAGTGTGACCCAAAAACCAATAAATATATACAACAAACTTTTTTAATAAAAAAAAGTGTGACAAATCATTCAACCCAATAAATAATACATGTGGTTTGAGTTGAGCAAGGCTTAAGCTTATTCTTATATATATTCTTATAAATTTACCCTATTTATGAATAAATGTGAGATTCCATCAGTTAAACATTCGCACGACTACTTATTCAGAAATCGTGAGATGGGGTCTGGTGAGATGTAGGTTTCAGAAAAATATTTTCTTTATCGTGCCAACGTTTCGATCGTTATTGAGATCATCTTCAGGGCCTGGGATTTACAAACATTGTTTACATTTAACAAATAAATGTAGGATGTGGAAAAAAGTGAATTTATACAATGCAAAATATATTTTGTAAACAATGTTTGTAAGTCCCAGGCCCTGAAGATGATCTCAATAAAGATCGAAACGTTGTCACGATAAAGAAAATGTTTTTCTGAAACCTACATCACACCAGACCGCATCTCTCGATTTCTGAATAATTATCGATTAACGGTCACTAATCACCACACATTCTCACGAGTTTCAGGGAAGTATCAAAAAGACTACCCAATAGAAATGAATTTATACAGTAAAACACAGTTATTACATAATTATATATGCTGGTAGTTATTTTTACTTTTTCAAATGAAACCGTTAAAAGCGGGACTAATCAGTAGCGTAGATCGCAATACCAAACACATACTGAATATCGCCATTATAATTTATTCACTCGTTTCTGTTAAACGTGATTTTGAAGGTTGGCGTGTATAGTTTTAGTTAGTGTTTTATTGATTTATCATATTACTAGATAAATATGCGGTCAGTTAAGTAGTTTAAAAGGATCATAATATATGAAAAATATGCAATACAAAGATCACAGGTATAATCTTATATTGTTTTTTTATTTCACGCCTGTAACTGTAACGTGATTGAAACAATGCTAATTGACAATCTGGCAAAAGGATGGATATAACAGGTAACATCACTTTTGTGTCATAAACACCATCCACATACATACTCAACATACACAACCATACACAAAAAATCTGAACCAGCGTTACAATGAGAGGGATCAATCTTTTCCCACATTCACTGTTTCTTCGAGAGAGGTAGTGACACATTTAGTCCAATTATAATGGCTGCAAAACATCAAATCGCTATCTCAGTCAGTTAAATCTGCTTCAGTTAAATCATGAATGACGATGTCTCTGTTGATCCCGTCTGCGTGAGGACTGTCAGGGGGCTCTTTTAATTGTTGTAAGGCTTCGATGAAGTCTTCTTCTGTATTCAGACTGGCCAGCTGAGAATAAGGCACGATGTCTGAGGATATTCCCATTTTGATCCTTTGTTTGAAAACTAAGTCAAAAGGAGATTTGTAATGCGATTGAACGCTTATGTTCTTAAGGAGCTGGACGAACCTAAGGCCATGACTCCAATTTTGTGACTTACTGTCCTTCATCCAGGTCTCGATCATTTCGACGAATTTGAGTGTCATATCGTATTTGATAGCAGAAGTTTTCCCGCTGACTATTTTCAACTCTGGCCATAGTCGTTTAAGTGCGGCGATGATCTCGTGGACAAAGATCCTTTCCTCGTCGGACTCGAGAACATACGGAGCTCCGATCATTGTGAACACGTCTACCAACTTATCTGCAACCTCTTCCGCAGTATTAGTTCTAACCGACCTCAAAACCGTAAAGTCCGTTTCCAAATCTTGATACACCATGACGTAGTTGAACTCCCCGTCGGGATTATGGCTAAAATTCAGTAACTCCACGTGACCTCTAACCTGTATTTCTTTTACATATGGGACATTTCTGCTAATAAAATCTGCCGGTTTTGTCACATTTTTAAAAGAAAGGAGTTTCATACAGCAGACGTTGCAACCTTGTATGAATTCCTGTATACTACGGATTCCAACGTTTTTGTACTTTTCCTTCAAAGCGAGATACATTTTGTCCCGGCCTCCGTGCCCAAGCGATTCATGTACCTCCGTCAGTACGTCAATCAAAATATCATCGTGGACATAATATCTGATCGAGTTTTTCCCTGGTTTCAATGGCTCAATAAGCTTCTTCTCTCCGTTTTCAAGAAGTACGTCGAATTTATTGGTTAAAACACGATCCGCCCATGTTTTGTTTTTTCTCGCTTTAGCGTCCAATACCTGGGCAATTATTTCTTCGTACTTCTCCCTTTTCATACGTTTACGATCGATACTCTTCTCTTCGTTCAAGTCGAACATTTGTATCTCATCGTCAAATGTTTCCATTGCTCATAAAGTTTTCAAATTATCATTCCTTGATACTACTAAAACATTATCTATATTAATGATCACTGTGTGCTTAACGACGGAAACCAAGTTAGCAACTAAAGACCGAATCTGTCCGACCGTTCACCGAGGAGTAAGGAGGACCGAATCAGAAGGGGAGATGTGAGATGAATTTCCTATAGTAGGGATTTCAAACAGCGCATGCGTTCTTTCCCATCGACTGCTTCTCTTTTCCCTTCCACATTCCATCTTCCGATTCTATATTTTTATTTTTATAGTTGTTTTTAGCCATATCTTGATTATAATCAATAGATATCGGGCAGATTCTTTGTATGCCAGTGATTTATCCATTATGGCGATTCACAAAGAAGCTTTGGAAGTTGACAGTTTATGATTATGAAAATACGACCAAACTATTTTTATAGATCTTTCTTCAATTTTATATTGTTTACTTCAAGAATACGACAACCATATTGTAATGTAGAAAATGGTGATCAAAGAAGAAAATACTGAACAAATTAATAAATATTCTGTTAAATTGATTATGGCAAGTACGACTAATTTGTCATCCACAACACGATGGCACTGTTAAATATTGGAGTCGTGACGCCAATTGCAAATCGATAGTTTTGGAATTATATTAGAAAATAAGATGGAGAGTATGTGCTTACACAAGTTTTTTCCTTTGTCAAAGAATTGGCAGTAAACCGCCCAGTTATTGTATTTTGAGATTGGGTGAACTTTGAAAAAACATCCATGGCGTCGGGAAATGAGTGATACGGAGAGTTGCATTAGAAAAGGTGGTTTGCTTTTGTAGGAAGAGTTCGAAGGATAGAAGGGGTATGAGGTCAAATCCAGGAGTTTCTGGATGGATAGTTTTAATTTAGTATTTGACGATTTCAGTTAAATTTTCTTTTTTATTATGTTAAGATATTAAACTGTGTTTTTAGTTTGTAATGAAGTTATTATTTCCTAATCAGTTATACTTATTATAACTTTGCCTCAATAGCCAATAAAAATACGTACGTACTTATTTATCAGTTGTTACAAATATGAAAAACATGAAATCGTTATGTCCATTATGTAATAAGAAATGACCAGCAAAATTTGAGCATGAAATACTATAATTAATTTTTAATACAGTCATACATTATTATTTATTATTATTATTATTATTATTTGAAAATTATAATTGTTTTTTTTTTCGGAAGTAATTTTCACTAAACATGAAAAGTGAATATATTAATTTTAATACTTATAGAAGATAAAATCATGGGATCATATCGGTATAAAACCAAGAAACATGTATAAGTTAATACTAGTAACTTCATTACAACGGATATGCTGAAAGACGATAAAATCTCCATGCGTTTTTGTTATTTTTTACGTACGAAAAAACCTATAAGCAGTCCGTGTTCGACGTACTGTAAATTTGCATACTCCCATACGGATTGATTGTAGATGGAACGAGAGTGGAATGACGTCAATCTTTTGAATGTGCACCAAAGGCTCGGACTTGATTTTACAAGAACTCAATGGCCTATGCTACTGTTGATCGGCAAGGACAATTTTCGGCTCCACTTCGGCCTCTTATAACGTTCAATTACACCCAGTGAAAACTGGGGACAATCCAGATTCTGCAAGCCGCTCCGACATAGATTCATGCAGATACCACGGTGAAATAACACAGCTCTAAGGGGATAATTAAGGTTTCTTCTGTAACTAGAATATTAGCAACTCTGAGACAAAACAACTTAGTCTATTTTATTCCTTAAGTTGTGGTTCATTCAATTGGTGGTCAGACTAGTTAAACATGAGGAAACAATAACAACCATTTAGTTTTTAAAAAACTAAATGGTTGTTATTGTTTCCACGTGTTTAGCTAGTCTAACCACCAATATAAGTAAGTCCTTTCCTCCGAAAATTAAGAACAATCATAAGATTAGCTACTCAAAAATATACAAGGATGTGCTAATGAAATCAAAAAATAGAGTCGAACATTACGAATTCTGGTGAACCCACAAAAATCTAAGGTCATATATCTACATATAATAGTAAGGATGACTAACGAATACATTATATTTCGTGGAGGAGTCATGTCCTCGACATTGAACCTCAGGCATGCAACAATTATTAATGTGTGGTGTTTAGTGACCGTTAGTCAATGATTATTCGGAGATCGTGAGATGCGGTCTGGTGTGACGTACGTTTAGAAAAAAAATTTCTTTATCGTGCCAACGTTTCAACCTTTATTGAGATCATCTTCATGACTCAAAGTGTTTGTTTTCTGTGTCGATGTGTCATTGTGTGTCGTGTTGAGAGTTCCCTACAATCTATAGTAGGAAAAATGACAAGGTAATGGCTGAACCAGTGAACAGACCATCACTACAAACGAATGCAAAGTTAAATTTCAAATTTGGGCAAGCTCTAGTAGAGTTATCAGCAGTCCGTTGAGGAGAAACAGCAGAACCTGCGTTCGGACTCGGGGTAACACCCAACTCGATCAAACCTACAAAATGAAGCCAAAAAATTGGAAAGCAATATCCCCAATAAGAACCCTTACAATGAAACATAGGCCACCGCAAAATACAAGAACATATGTAAGTAAAGGTCAAATAACAAACCTAACACGAAAGCAGGTAACCTAATGAATTGTAAAGATTCTGAAGCGCCAAGAGAGTCCATTATAACTAGATCATTGATAAAAAGCTTAAATGCTTCAAAGTTCATCTTACCGGACCTTGTTATTGTTCTTGTTGAAGGCAACGAGGAGAACGGCACTACCACATTGGCTACGATCCTAATACTTACAGTTCGAAAAGTACTCCGAAGCGACTGTTCAATGGTTGTATCTGTCCTGTTTTTGTCGTTAGTCCACATAGAACCCAAGTTACCGCCTGATTGGAAATTTCCTTGAGGATATTGTGTAGAGAGTAAATGTTGCATGAGAGCTTTTGTCTCCGGTAATTTTTATTGGCCAATTATTTGCTCTTCTATTGGGTTATTTGCAAGGCAAGCCAGGAGCAATTTCCAAGCAATCGCTAACAAAATAATTAGAATAATTAATAATGAAAGATAGACTGGAAACGCACTTTCCGATTGAGAACTAATTATAGAACAACCTTCTTAATAAAATGAAGAATGGGACCGCGTTATTACCTTAAATAGATATATAAATTAGCACGGAAAACTACCGTCTGTCGGAATTACAGTTGTTTGATTTATAAGAAACAAATACAAAAACACTCTTATAATAATAATAATAATAATAATAATATTGTACCAAAACATATTTTGGTCGCAATTTGCAACCAATAAGACAAAGGCTCAACCTTTTCAGCTTTCTTAAATTTATTGAAATTTATAAGGTGATTTAGGCCTTAACCCAAATTCTTATACCTTTGAATGTTTGTCTGCTAGTGTTTGTATTAGACTTCTGTGTGCAAGATTTTTTCTTTTTTCAAGAATTATTGAGGCTGACGGGGTGGAAAAATGAAATAAAAGAAAATACAAATTACGGGGTAATAAACTACAAAACCTATTGGCTTGGTGTAACGAAAGGTAACGATGAGCCAATATTCATGCTGAAACTGATACTAGTCTGACTCCTTTATTATTATTGTTATTGGCTATACAAGTCTATGGGAAATGTTTAAATTATGGGACAAAAATTCGAAATTCTAATTAAAGAACAGGAATAAATTTTATAATTTAAATTTTTTTTACATGCATTTGGCCTTCTAAATTAAGTATTTTAAAAGGATCAATTAAAGCTTAGGATGGAAAAAGGATAGATTAGTTTATGAGTGAATGTTTGGAGTCAGAGCACTCAGAAGGGATATAGCTAACCTAAGATAGAAGATTTCAATTAATTAAGGTTTTTAGTTGAGATAAATTGGTCAAGTGGACCACTAAATCTAGTGAATTTATTAAGAAGTGTTAAATGTTAGGGCGCGAAAACACCTTAGCTGTTAAAAAGCTTTTAAAAATTAATAATAAGTGAGGAACAGATTTAATATATGATATAAACTTTGCACACATTTTAGTTGTTAACGGCATTTTTGGGAAATAAAATATTAACTTGATCGACCAGCTGAAGAAAAACCAATCGGTCCCATCATTTTTTCAAGCATTTAAAAATTTAAGTAAAAATGGCTTTTGAGGGCACGCACAAATACCGAGTCTAGGTCAGTAGCAAGATGGAGTATATGGTGGGATTTCATTTTCATTTTTGCCCCCTTGTATGAAAAACAAGTAGATTTTTTCTGCCAAAGACCAAGATTTGAAAAGCCAAATCTCTGAACCAGTATTGATCCAGAGATGGTTAGGTACAAGATTAAAGAATTTCAGTTTGGCAGGTAAGTGAATCAAAGGTTTTTTTTTGGCATCAGCTTTACGTCACAGCCAATAATCAAATATATTTTTATTATTATGTATATTTATTACTATAATTTTAATGCTTTGCGTAATGAGTTTAGTTAAGAGCAAATCTGACAGAATTGGATTGGATTGTGTAGTGAATAAGTAATCGTAAGTGGCCGTTCGAAACTCACAACAGAGAAATAAATCAAAATTTTTAAGTTTCCTCCTGGGGTCACCGGGGTGAATAACTGTAGACTGGACGTTCTCGATCATTTTGGACTGCCTATAGGCAGCAAACCAGGCAGATTAAAATGAGAACTAAAATTGCTACAAGTCTGTCAGACGGTTTTCGTCATCGGAAGTGAGCTTCACATAAATATTCTTAAATTATCTTATTTTAACTTATTAGGATGTATTAAACTGTCCGACCACACGTTCAACAAAACATTACTGGTTCTTTTGTCTTAGTTTCGAATGATGGTTGAACATTTGTCAGCAGAGACCTGTCACATTAGTAGCGACTATAGTTCCCGCGTAGGGATTCTGTATAGTAATTTTTTGTTTCGAATAATAGGGGATTCCAATGAACATCGAATTTCATTAATTTTTATCATGATTGTGCTTTGAAATTACCAATAACTATACCAGATACTTTCACCATTTTGTCGGGTAATAAAGAGAAATTTAAAAAGTACATTTCGTCTTTCACCACCTTTAATATCTTATCACGTAAAAAGATATATATGAACTGTGTGTAAATAAAGAGGGGACAGGAGAGATA